ACATCATCTCCGCGCCGAGCGTGGTCAGGGTGCGCCACGGGGTCACGAGGGGGGGATCCCAAGGAAAACGCGGTTCTCACGAGGAGCTCATTGACATGACTTGCAATGTCACGATTTTCCCACCTGTGAGGTCACCTGTGAGGTCACAAGTTCAAGAATCGTGATCAAGTTAGTCATAAACAGATCACAATGAGGTCATATTGAGAACAACATCTTCCTTGGGATAGGATGAGATGCCGCTTCATCGTTTTGCCTCGCCCTGCGCGGTCCTGTTCACGGCCCGCACCGGATCAGAACGTCGCCGTCGTGAACTTGGTGCGGCTCGTCGTCGTCGTCCTGCGTGGTCCTGGGTCCTGGGGACGTCGGCGTCGGTCGTGACGCGGACCTCTCCTCCAGCACGTGGCTCGGCCAGGCCCCAGCCCCCCAGCCCCGCAGCACCATGCACGGCCATCATGTGCCATGGGGAATCATGTGGGACTGCCGTCGAGGAGGGTGGGGGATGCCATGGGGGGTGGGTGGGGGAGGGCTGGGGGCGCATGGCGATGGCCACGGCAGCAGGTACACACCCCGGCGGCCCCGGCGCGAAGGGGCGTGGCGGGGGGTGGGGCCGGCCCGGGCCGTGGTGGGGACGGCGAGTCCCGTGCAATCTGCGGCCGCCCCAGTATATCATCGCCGCGAGACAGTATTATGGCCGCCATGAATTTTGGATTATCTAAGATTGAATTAAAGTGCCGTTAAAATCGAGTAAATCCGACCGGCGGCGGGCGGGGCGCGGGGGGCAATGTTTTTTGACCTAATAGAATCTGGTGCCGGTCGGCCCCTGGACGACCGTGCTGCGGCCTCCGTCGTGTGTCAGGGGGGAAGGGGCGGGCGGAGGAGCTCCGAGACGGGCTCAAAGACACATGGGGACACGACCCGCCCTTGCTGCCCTGTCCGATACATAAAGAGCAAAAGGTCATATACATCATCAAACTTTTACCACTTGCAAACTTCAATGCAATGTGAAAAAAAAACTAAAAAAGAAAAAGGCCGAGTATAGTACACGCGACGCACACCAAAAGGTGTAACTTGCTCGCTAAAAACTGAATTACCGCGACGGGGAGGCCGGAGGGGCAGCGAGCAACTACAACCCTATCCACTCCGCTCCGGGCGGGGAGGGGAGGGCGGGACCCACACAGTGTTTATGTCAATCCAATCGAATTTGCGCCTTATGCTCCCTCGGTGGCGGGGCGGGGCGGGGCGGGGCGGGGCGGGGCGGGGCGCGCACAGTGTGCATCAGCCAGGCGTGCATGCGAGTGAGTGCGCCGGCAGATTTACGGCCGTCCGGGACCGCCCGAGGTGCCGATAACTCGGAGCATAATCAACCGAGCGAGACATGTCGAACACGCGCGGAGCCCCTCGACATGTCGAACACGATCTGAGTCTCTAGACGTACAGAGGGTGGTCCACAGACCCCTTTCTTTATTTTGCTTATATTGTACCGCATGCTGGCGTGCGGACGGGGCTTGCCGACCGTCGCTCGCCGCGGTACCTTTTGGCCCCGTGCGAGTATGCAACCCTGCCACACGACTGCATCCGGTACAGTATACGCAAAGTAAAGGGAGGGGTCTGTAGACCACCCTGTAGACATGTAGAAATAAGACGTGGTTCTAGCTTCAAAACTCTTTGTTTTTGGAAATGTTCCCTCTTACATGGGGTTTCCAGGTTTCCTCACTGAAGTTTCACGACATAAAAAGTAAATACACAAAATAGGGAATACGCGAGGAACTTTTTTTTTTTTTTTAAGCACTTTGTTCGGCTGCCTGACCCGCCTGAGCTGCAAAGCTCCTCCTTACAACAGCAGTGCATCATTCCACACTTTGAAAAAGAGAAGCCTAAATCCAATTGAGGAAACAAACTGGCGCGCTCGCCGTCCTGGCAGGCAGCAGTTTCCACGCCGAGATTTTTTTGCGCCCCCCCATCTCCCTCCCTCTTTCTAGCCGAGGAGACGCGCAGCCCGGGCCCGAGTCGGGTAAACGACTCGCAAATTAAGAATTAAGGCGCAGATTGGTGCGGTGAGTTGGTAATCCTGCCGGCGCGGTGCGGCGCGACTCGCCCGTCCGTGGCCTCAGCCAGGGCCGGCCGAAGCGCCATGTTTCATCCCTGATAATGTAGGCAATCTCGCCGAGCACGCCGCGCGCACCGCAGCGCCGCGAGTAAGTGGGGAAAAGAATGGCCGGCGGCGAAAATCACTCGATCCATCTGGGCCGCCGCACCTCGGGCACAGCAGTGGAACACCTCGGCCGGGCAGGGCGGGGCGGGGTCTCTTGAACGCGAGAGTGCCGGCGGCGGTGGCGGCGCGGCGGCTGGTGGCCCCGCTCTGTTTGGACAGTTTGTATCCCGGGTGCTGCAGCACGTTCGCCCGCGTTCGCCTCATGAACATTACGTATTAAGTCGGGTGTTGTTTCCGCCGTAAATCTGTTTCCCTCTACACCCCGCCCTACCTACCCTACCGCGTCCCGCCGCGCCCCGCCTCCACCCGGGCGTGCTCGCCGTCCTGGTCGAGGGCGTCGGGGGCGGCGCGAGGGGG